ACTAATCTTTACAGTAGATTTGCACGAATGAATGACACATATGTACATACAATAATAATATAATAATAATGTTAGAAACATAACTTAGTGTCGTCTACCTTCAACTGTTTTGCATGTTTGTGTAAAAAATGAATTGCTTTTGAATGTACCAAAAACAGTTATGTTTGGAGGTCGGTCTTGAAATTCGCAATTCCACAAAGAACTAATTCTGTTAAAAGGTCATGCTTAACAAATTTTATGTTTATGCGAACAAAAACAACCTCATACGACCGTGTTACTCTGGTTATTAAAATTAAAAACAATAGAAGTAATTACTGTATATTTTTGAGGTGAGCTTCTACATGAATATAGGATCAGTGAGTAAGGAATATTTCAGAAGACGATAAATATTTATACATTATCTAGAACGGAACCAAACGAAGACAACTACGTAGGACATCATTTGGATCATAATTAAAAATTATCTACTGATCTCAATATTAACATATTATTGTAAGAAGATTATTAGTCAATAAAGATAGATTAATAGCTTGTAGTAAGAAGAAAAAGAGCAAATAGAAATTGTATAGCTGTGAAAACCAGAGTGTTGAAGTTTAGCATGAGTCAACATAGTTGTCCAAGGCGCATATCGAGCAATGAATAGTAGCACGATGAAAAAAGTAATTGGGTATCAAATAATTAATTGGTTAAATGGTCTATGTAAACAACTGAAAAGAACAGCCAATGAATAAGGGGTAAAATTTTATTTTCGTCTAAACCAAATATTTGAAGATGATAGTTAAAAACGAGTTAACCAACAAAATGTCCTGATATCGGTAGTAAAATCGAGCTGTATTGCAATACATTCCGTTTAAAATTATTATGCTCTCTAGAACCTTTTACTGCAATGTTGTATCACCACTTGAGTTAATTACTTGACCTAGAATATTGAATTTACTATTCTTAATGTATTTTAAATTAAATGTATCAGCCATAAACCTCCACGCACATAAATCCATACAATGTAATTGATAACTGCCATTCAGTTTATACACCCATAAACTACGATCAGCTTTTAGATACGTCCATCACAATACTTTGTAGAAAAACGAAAAAAACAGCATAAAGTGCAGTTATTACTCTTACTCGATAAACGTCCAGCAAAGAAGAAGAATAAGAAGAGCATTCCATTCCGCGGAGCAATAGTAGTGCGATTGTGGATCATAATGACATGTTCCACCGGCTAGCGAGTATGTCGACTGCCCGGAGCAGGACTTCAGCCAGTATATCATATATACCGGTCTCCACGCCTACTTTAAACAACGTCGTTACCCAACTACAATAACAATTTGTTACGGGAATAGAACGCGCCACGTAATAATATGAACAGAACGGGTCAGTTTCTAAAGCTTCGATTATCGAGATGGGACACTACATACGGAGTCGTTCCTAGCTTGGTGTATAAGCACAGATGGGCTTTTAACGAAAGTAAAATTATGATCATTAGATCATTTTCCTTGTTATGAATTGTATGATTTTTAGTGTACTGGAAGTTTTTTAAGGTGGTCTAGATATTTTGAAGAAATGTTAAATAATAACAATGAGGAGGTCCCGAAAGTGAGAACAATTGAGAATGTTCAAGAGGCGTTTCCCACCGAGCAAGACATTAGAGACAGCATTTCAAAATTAAAAAATAACAGCGCCTTGGGACCATCTCCCTGCCGAACTCTTTAAAAAAAGGCGACGGTACACTGATAATACATATGCATAATTACTAAATGAAATCTGAGAATGGAAACCCGCGTAGAGAAAATTAAGAACACTATCCCATTCACAAAAAGGGGACTACCTTCCTCAACATGGCACACAAAATACTATCGAATCTACTATACATCAGAATGCTCCTCTCCGGCGAACAAATATTAGGGGGATATCAGTATGATTTTCGACCTAACAAATCAACAACTGATCAAATTTTCCCACCGAGACAGATTCTGGGAAAAACCTTAGAATTTGACATCGACTTTCACCATATATTGGTGAACCTGAAAAAGGTTATTCGTGAGTCCTAGATGAATACGAGTAATACAATATTTAACAAATCTGTACAAGTGGCTGGATATGCAGACCACATTGACACTTTTCGGTCGTTAAGGACGTCTGCACTGAAAATTGGACTAAAAATAAAAGCCCAAAAAACGCTACATTACGCATCTATAATACATAAAAACGAAATATATGTGGATATCCAAGTATGGTAATCTAGGGCCGATTGTTCGAACGCTAATCAATACTTGATTGTAATCAAATATTTAATCAAAATCAAATACGTCACATTTTAAGGTTATGGTGATTGATTTATTTTATTCAATTTTATTATTTGGCGTTATAATTTAACACAAAACATTATTAAACTCTTTCTGATGTTAATTTCATGTTTTTATTTACAAATAAATAATAATATTAAGCAATTTTTACTAATTTTGACAGTTGCTGTGACGAATTTGATTGTAATTAAATATTTGATTACAATCAAGTTTTGATTAGCGTTCGAACAATTGGCCCCTGGACTAATAATTGACGATATTGAGTTGACTACACCTTATGTGACCGTACTCACATAAGGTGTAGATAGCTTCCTAGAATGTCCTAGGTCAAAAACATTAGCAAAAAAATTAAAAGGAGAATAGTCATTGTATTAATATGATTTAATTGTAAAACATAATAGCCATGCTGATAGCCAACATCCGTAATGGATAGACACCACAACAGTGTACAAAACACTGATAAGGCCAGTTTTTAACATACAGAGCAGAAACGTAGTCACTAACATAGAATAACCAAGAGCAGCTTGAGTTTCCAGCAAAATATTCTAAAAAGAACATCATGATCATCATCTAGCCTTCTGCGTCCAAAGTTAAACATAGGCCTTCCTTAATTTCTTCCAGTTTTGTCGGTCTTGAGCTTCCTGCAGCCAATTCCCAACGATTCTTTTGACGCCGTCTGTCGATCGTATAAAAGTGCAAAATTTCTTAAATTCATAATATCTTGTTCATATTTCTAGGAACAGAAACCCAAACGAAAACTTAAAAACAGAGTATACCGAAAATCAACGTTCGCGGATGGTTATTCAACTACAACTCAAATCATCACCATAAATAAAAGAAAAAAGTCTTTAACACCTTAATCATGTTATCTGAATATGTGAACCTCAGTATTTGGGGAAATACTTGAAACATATATCTATACAAAGTGTTGGTACAGAACAGAATATCATTTCGACGATGAACATCAATGGATATCTAGAGATGCCATGAGTTGGTGTCATCCTAGGCTCTAGGCTTCTCTGATTATATACATTTCCAATTTAATTCTGTTTTATCACAATTTCATCATAACTAACATGTAGCTAACATTTCGCGCATAGATCAAAGCTGATATTCTGGCAGTTTTAAAGAATTTTCCTTTCAGTTTCATTGGAATCTTTCTGCCACACATCACACCATTCGCCTCTTCCTTTTTCCATTTTATCCATCTCGCTCTAACTCTACCGCATCTGCAAATATTTTTCCAGTACAAGGATTTTTGTTTACCTGAAAATATATTCTCATACTGTTCGATCTTTAAGTTATGCGATATTAATTTTAATTAATACACGAATTTTCTAGCAGTTCTAAAGTAATAGTAGTATTCGTAGTAGTATCCAGTAGTGCTTTATCAAGATCTAAAAAGAGTAAAATAATTTTATCTATTTTAAGCTATAGGTTCTTAATGATTTGGGTTAGATTGAATAGGCGATCTAAAGTGAACGTTCCATACCATTAGTTATTTCATACAGCGCCACTTCCAACTCGTTTCGATAAGATCAAATCGGTGTAAAAGAAAGAGCAAGACATGGAGAATAAAGCGTCAGCAGATATGTGCGTGTGATAGATATCAGGATTTGGGGTAATCAACAGATTACCTTTTAACTAGATTGTCTTTAGATCGAAGATGTTGATACTTTTTACGCCCGTAGATTATGATTGTTCAGACAAACATCTTTCATTGGCCTTTTTGTTATCTTGATTCTTTTGGTGGCGTATGCGGTTGTTACCTGTTTTAATATTAGTGAGTGTTAATTATGTAGTCATAATAATGTAAATATATAGTGTCTGAAATTTGTTGTAATAGGAGATGATTATATTGTTTGTAAAAATAAAATTACACTTTATTGTAAAAGTTTAGGACAGTGCTTTATTTTACGATTATATAATAATAATTTTTAAAAGCTAACAAAAGGAAAAGAGTGACTTGGTACAAAATTTTCAAATGTTGTTTGAAATGATAAAATTAATATGCTAAAAATAGGATCAGATCTTCTTAAATAGATTTTTAATAACAGAAAAAGCATTATAAAGCCTACAAAACTTAAACTTGCTTAAATAAAAAATATACGGATGTAGATCTAGATATAAACAGATATTTATAAAGAGTATATTCAATTGCTCAACTAAGCTTCAAATATATTTCCTCAAGATCTTCCGTATCTTTCCAAGAGTTCCAATGATTTATTTATTGTTCTACTATATAGGCAACACTTTCAGTATTGCCTACATCATCAGCATACGCCAAAGAATGTTACGATGAAAAAGACATAACGTTTTATTTAAATAAAAAAAAGACGCAAATAAAGAGGGAAAATAATAAATGTACTTTTTTGATTAACCCTGTTAACTTAAATTTTTATTTGTTATATTTTGAGGGGGATTAATCAGTCAGTTCTTAATACAGCGAACTTTACAATCTATTTGTCAATATGATGTTAAATGAACTGTACTAAGCTGTAATATTGTAAAGAACAATATATAAAAATGTTGCAGCGCGTTCGTATATTCAATCTGCTCACGACACGCGAACCCACATTTATAGAGTGTGAGAATATCACCAGACCAGGACAAGACAAGACAAAGACACATATACCGGGCGAAAGAAGAATCATGGGAGCATAGAACTATCGACTTGATTTATGTTATACTTACGTTGTGTAGTTTATAGTAGAGTCCGCAGGCGTTACAGACAGGCTCCCCGTTCTGATTGCGCCTCCAGAGGGTCGTAGTTGTGGTTTTGCAGTTCGCGCAACTCGTTCCTGCTCGCCTCGCCGCACTTTGTAAACTCTGCAAGAAAAAATAAAGGTTAAATTTAAATAATTACTATATTATTATGGATACTATTACAATATATATATTAATAGGAACACTAATAGGCAAAATATCATTACCGTATGAGATTTGTCTTAAATTACAGATATTTACTTCAATACCAGTACCTAGGTATTAAATATTGAATATTTTAAAATAAATTAAATTTTTATTTTATATCTTGCTCTTTTTTTTTGTAGTAGTAGTGTTTATTCTGTTATCCCAGCTATTCCGTTTCTCATGACTGGCTTCCGTACTTTGTCCTGAACAAGGGAAAAACACAAATTCATGTTTCTTAATCTATTTTTCTATTTCTATTGGCATTAACACGTTAACTAGCTTGGATGTAGATTATTGAACTAGAAGTTCACACTTGGCATGTCTATGTTTCGTGTGGACCTTAAGAAGGCATTTGACCAGGTCAAATTAAAGGACGTTATCTACTTATTGAACGCAAGAGAGATACCTCTAGAAATAATCAAAACGATCTACCAAAACAACACAATAAAAGTAAAAGTAGAAGAAAAACTAACCGACCCTATTAAAGCTGGCAATCGGATAAGACAGGAACATTCCCTGACTCCTGTATTGTTCAACCTGAATATGGATGAAATAATAAAAAAAGTAAGAACTAAAAAGGATACCAAATGAGAGAAAAACAACTTAAAATAATCTGCTATGCAGACAACGCAATACTACTCTCTCAAAGTGAAGATGATTTGCAACGTATGATGCACCAATTTAATATAACCGCCATAAAATTTAACATGTTTATATCCCCAAAAAAGATAAAATGCATGGTTATAGAAACAAATACTAATATGTAAATTGGAGTTGGAAGTCAGATTATAGAACAAAGGATGGAGTTTAAATATCTATACATCACATTATCTAGCTACGGAAAGCTCGAAACTGAAGTGAAAAATCAAGTGAATAGAGCAAACAGAGTCACAGGTTGCCTGAATGAAACAATATGAAGAAGTAAAAATATCAAGAAAGAAATTAAAAACAGAATTTATAAAACAGTCATCAGACCAATAACGACATATGCGGCAGCAACACAGGTGGCACAGAGAGAACAAACAAAATGTTAGAAACAGCAAAGATGAAAGCTCTTAAAAAAATTGGTGGTAAGACACTATGGGACAGAGCTAGAAGTACAGATATACTACGTAGATGCAAGGTGAAGAACATCAAGAACTGGGTAAGAAATAAAAAAGGAGAATAGAACGATCATATAAGGTGAATGACAATATAGACGTCAAGACGCGGTTCCCCATAGGATGACGATCAGTAGAAAGACCACGAAAACGATGGAACGACAACTTAATGGAGGCACATTGAAAAACAGATAAAGTAATGTCTACATTAAAAAAAGAAGAAGTTCACACTAAAAACAGTGCTGCCAATTTTAATTATGCAGCTTCATCGATCTTGTTTATGCCTTCCTTACCATATCCTTAACAATATTTTAATGTAATGATTGCCCCTAACTTATCCTTTAACTATTGGCAGAATTTTCAGTTCTGCTACTCTTATCACCCTTTTCGCTTGTGATTTTTCCTCTATTGTATAGAATTGGTAGGTCAATGCACTGATATAAATTATTCATTTACGTTTTTACTTATAGTTTTTGCTTCTTTCCATGCCATGCTTGTATTTAAGCGTTGGTTATCTCCATGACAATGTACTTTTGCTCCACGAAAAAGTGACTCTGCTTCTAGCCTACTCCAACCATTTACCTATATCCAGCAACCATGAGAGCGTTTTACGACCAATCCATTTATTACCTTTACTTTTATCTGAATAATCAGTTTGAGGAAGTCTTTATTCCCGGTGTGTGTAGTCTAGAAAACCTTAAATAAAAATAGACCACAGATAACATTTTAATGTTCTCAATCTCGTTTATATGGTTAGGTTTCTGTTGGTAAGAGTGGGTTTCCATTTACTGAATGTTCTGCGTGTCAATATAATCCGAGACTTTACTTATTCGTCGCTTGTGTTTTCAGTATTCAACAACTTCCCAAATATTTACATCTCAAAATGTGGTACTAATTCGATAGTATGCCGGCACTTATTTTACTTATTAGTTCTTTCATATTATATCTTAGAGGTAACCTCATATTATCGCTACCTTAGTTCGTGCTTTTTTAGTTTTTCTAAAATTATCTTAACTTACATTTTTGCTTATTCGAAGATAAATAAAATTCATATTTTGTTATATTTTGCACCCAATCGTTATTGTACATATGCAGAATCTATATATGACTTTAGGAATTACAATTGTTAACATTTTTTGTAAATGTTAGGACACATTTTTGTAAAGAAACAACTAGATATTTATTGCTTTTTTTATCTTGTATGAATTTGTAGTTCGTCTAGTGCTGTAGTTTCAAACAGTAATTTTTTTATTTGTAGTCAACGTTAATAGTGTTCTCGTTTGCTACTCATTTTTCTACACTTTGCATATTGAAAAGACATCTCGTTTACCCAAATCCTATTTATTTTGTAATCCATTTTTGTTTTTACCCTTTTTTGTTAAGATTTTTCTTGTTCTGTAGCTATAGGCGTTTACGTTTTTGTTCTTATTGCACCGCTCCTTTAATAGGTTGGCGATTTAAATGGCAATTATGGCTTTGAAAACTGCACCGCGAAAAATTTCTGCCGATGAGCTGTCAAACCATCTCCTCAGGTCTTTAAGCCACAAGTTCTGACGTCTTCGGATTTCCTTCAATGCTTCTCCGAATACAGATTAAATAATAGCAGCGATAAGACGCAACCCTGTCGTACCTTTCGTCAGATTTGTATATCTTCGATGTTGTATGCTCTATTTTAATTGTTTCTATTTATTACCAATACAGTTTTGAGATAATTTGCTTTTGACTACGTAAACCACCATCTTTTGATGGTTTACGTAGTCAAATGTTGTTAGATAATCAATAAAATATGCATTCATGTCTTTGCATCGTTGATATTTTTAACCTAAGAGTTGTTTAAAAGCTGTCGAAATTTTTCTTAAAAAGTTAATTAAAGTTAGATATTTAAGTAAATAAACAAAAAGGACACCGTATTTTACTGCTGGCTGACTGTGACAAAAACCAAGCAATTGGAGTTCGCAAGTCATAGATTTTAATTCAACTTAACTGAAAGTTGAACCAGAAATCGATATTTGAACTATTCGTGTGATATTGTGCCAATTGATATACGATTTCACTAACTTTGAGTCATTTTGGTCAAACTTCTGGTCATAACTTTTTAGCCGGAATACATTTTTTGGTGTCATATGACACCAAAAAATTGACGTCAAAACCAAAACTAAATAATCAAACTTAACTTTTCAATACGCGTTTATTCTGCGTACATAATGTGGCTTTTCCGGTTCAACTTTTTAATTGGAAGTGATATAAAACATGAAGAATATTTTTGTTCTCATCTTGCTAAGGCGTGTCGAGTAATATATCGCTTGTACTATTTTATCGACTTTAACATAATACTTTTTGTCTAGGACATAGCCCAAAAAAAGAACAAGAAGAAGAAGAACATAATACTTTCGGTTGCAAGTAAAAACCCAGAGGTCCGAGATCAAATTTCTCACTTTTAATACCATTTTAGTTATAAGCTTTCATTCGATCCCTTATTTGTCATTATAGTAAGGGCGTCAAATAATATATCGCTTGTACTATTTCAGTGGCTTTAAAACAGTACCTTTCTTACAACTCTAGAACAGGAAATCTGGAAAAGTCAAATTTCCAACCTTTAGTACAATCTTTGGGTTCTAAGCTTTTATTTGATACCTTATTTGTCACTATATCTTTTTCAACAAAGGAGTAGTTGTGTTTACGGACAGACGGACGGACAGACAGGCATAAAACCGGAAGTATATATTTGTCTTACTAAAGCAAGTCGAATAACATATCGGTTGTACTATGTCGGCGACTTTAAAACTGCAGTTCCGGTTACAACTCTGGAACCGGAAATTTAAGGTCAAATTCGCACCTTTATACCAAATATTTTCGAATACCGGGGGAGTTGTGTTTATGAACTAATAGACAAACATGGATAATTCAAGGTGTTTAAGTTTTAATGTTGTAAAATTGGTGAAAACAATAAAAAAATAATAAAAAGGATGGAATAATGCTGTTTGTATATGTACAATACTTAAAAAAGTTAAGGAACACTACCATCCATGTACTAGCAATGACCACAGTGGATACAGAAGCAGCATGTACAGCTATAGCTTATCGTAATAGTACTAATCGCATTAATAAATATCAATAGTTCTAATATATAAAAATTAATTAATATGTCTAGAATGAATATCTGGAATATTTCTGCAACATGCAAAATAAACATCCCTGTCAATTATAAATCATTTCATCTCCACCACTGCAACCCGTCGAAATAAAGCAAGAACCAGAAGATTGTAGATCCGAACGCCTGAGTGTACTCCACTACTTGTGTCACTAACGTAAACCTATTGTCAGCTTTAATTGGATGGCGATCTCGAGCCGATAAGAAATTCCCGCGCTCTAAGGGCTACAATCGCGTACGATACGAACGCGGATCGCGAAATAACGTAGAAGAACTCCAGAGTTCATTCAGAACAAACGAATACAAGGTATGCGAATGTGACCCTTCCAGTGAGACGGTTCCCTAATCAACGTCGTCCGTGATTGATTAGAAGATAAATAGATTTGAGTGTTGTCGGGTGGGATTCGCTTTTGTAAGAATAAACGTTCGGCAATAAAGATTAAGACAGAACGTTCTGTCGCATAATATAGGACGAAAAACTACTTGGGAGGCTGGCTTGTAATCACCAAAAAGAGTACAAAAGAGACTTGCAATTCTATCAGTGTTTTGTCGTAAATTTTATTTATTTATATTAGATAATTAGTAAAAATAATATTTAAGATACGAGTAAAGCACAACCTCACAATTCAGTTCATATGGTCGATACTTAAAAGCATTTACAATTT